ACTTCCCCGAGCGAGCCAGAAAATCACCCGGACTAGGAAGAGATGTCGGAGCCGATCATGATTCCCAAGCATTGTGATGCCCGAATAGATTGTAATTGTTGAGCGAGTGATTCCAGTCCCAATAAGGGATATTGACATCATCCAGCAACGTTCGACAGTTTCTTTTTCCCTTCCTCTAAAGCTTCAAATTTCACAGCTAACTGTTAGAGAAAAGCGGGCGCGCAATATCGGCAGTTCTAGAAGCGAGTAAAAAGATGGGACTTGTGAAGTAGAACAGGACTCGAATAGATTAAGGTTCCAACCAAGAGTGACATTTCCGCCCTAGGATTTGAAAGTAGCAAGAGAGTAGCAAGGGACAGCTCCAGCTTCAGCCTGGACACAGTCATCACATATTCTAGCTCTCCCTATTTTCCTATGCGGATATTGGTAGCGGTAATCGACAATATTTCTATCTGCCGTGCCAAAGCGATAGCGCACATGTGCGAGTGATAAAAAATGGCCAAAGTTGGAGTGGACCTTCTTTCCCCTAGAGTTTCTTCCTATTATGCCGTATCGGTGATACAACACCGAGACGAAGGTAACCTAATTCTCAGTCGCACGCCCAGAGAATGGGCCAAGTAAGGAGTTCTCCCTCAATGCCTGCTATGGTGCCGGGAGTCTAAAATCGACCCTGCCGACGGCGGAAATCAATAACAAACGTTCCGCAATAACGAAGTTTTTATTTTTATTTTTTTTATTTTCGTGAAAGAAAGGGGCCCTTTGGAATTACCGAGAATTAGCTCCTCTTCGGATCTGGACTCTAAATTTTTTTCTTATTGGGTAAGTATTGGTTGGGAGCAGTAAGGTGGGTGTTTTCGGGCAAGGGAACCTACGAGGTTGCGCCAAGGCATCGGCTTTTGTGTGCTGTTGAGCAAACTGAGGCTCGTTCTTATGATAGGTGACCGGCACTGCAGGCGCTGTAAGGCCATGAGGCATTAGAAGGGCCCTGAATCCAACATCCGGAACCCTAGGTCTCCGAAGTTATCCCTTAGGTTGCTAGTCTGAGCTCTGACCACTGGGGGGGGAGGAAGGGAAAAGAAAAGAAGGGGGAAGGGAGGAAAGGTTTAAACACCCCGTGCTGGACTGGACTTCTCCAACTTGTCCCCCCAGGGGGAAAGGGCGATTGGACGAATGGAGCTGCCGTTGGGAAACATCAGTCGTTCCATGCGGCTTAAATATAACTCGAGACACGGTGATTTACCTGCTGGGCGCCGAGAAAAAAAGAGAGAAGGTGCCTGACGGGGGTGGGGGGAAAGCACTTGTAAGCATTAATGGTATTATGAAGGGCTTACCGGTATCACTATAACGGTACCGCTTCTTAATACCTTGTGTGCCGTACCGCCTATACGAGGTGAGGAGACTGGAGTAACGAACGGGGAAAGTTTTAGGCTAGAGGTGTAGTTTCTCCTCCTCTTTTTCTTTCCTTCTCAGCCAACCGGCGTACCGTACCACAGCAAGATTCCAATCCCCTAACCATACAAGCTCTGTACTGTACCAGTACTCGAGTACCTTATTATGCCGAACGCTCCAAGAATAGCGCATCACGTATCCTCACACGTCTGGCCCGCGCTACCGGAGGATTTTGTGCGTCTGATACCGCTCTTGCAGTCCCGGCTGACCACTCACAAGCGTCCTCAGCATCATGAGCGAGGGGACACAGCAACCGCATCCGCCAGCAGGCACCTTGCATCCCAGCCCAATGACTCCAACCCAGCCACTCCTAGAGCGCGGGCCCGAGGCTGCCATTGCTTGGCGTAAGTAGCGAGCCGTCGATCGGGGTTGGAGCTTCTGGGGGAGAGAGCCCGCTTGCATACCGGTACATACTCTGCTGCACCTGCCGGTTTATAATTGATTACTCTCACTGGAGAGGAACCCGCTCCTCCATCCACTCGCACATCATCACCCGGCCAGCACCCTCCCTGAATACCCGGACTCCCCTCCAATTTACCGAGGAAAGCTGTGCCATACAAGATGTGCCGATATGGCATAAAATAAACTGCACCCCTTGTCCTTGTAGGTGCTGTACTGTGCCCGTGCTGGTACCTGTATTATACTCGCGCGGCCGTGGGTCCAGGCACCGCACAGCACTTGCACCGTGCGATCCGTCTGTGCATCCCTCAGTCGGTCAGTCGGCCGGTTGTGCTAGTACTTGTGTGCATACGGTAACTGGGCCAGGTTTGGTGAAGGGCTGAATTCTTTTCTCTCTTCCATTATAGAAAATCTGCTGGAAGGGCTTTTTTCATTCGACTTGGTTCGAGCGGTGGGAAGCCGTATGTACGAAGCGGTACTTGTACTGTACCGTTTGGGTTGGGCTTCAGGGCAGATGGAGAACAGATTGAGATATTGATGGGGGCGGTGAGATGGCGGATGGGGAATCGGTGACAGCGATAGAAGGGAGGGTGAGGAATATGAGCTGAGTGACGCACAAGCAGCAGCGCAGGGACCTACGAACTCTTTATGTCCGCAGTGCTGGTGCCGTATATTGGATCGGTCTGCGAGGAGGTTTATTTTCTTACGCCCACATGTGATTATGACCTCCCCCCTCGCCTAAGCTTGCACAAAAGGATAGTTAACGTTGAACATGCGCTGTACGGGACGGAGCGCATCAGTTTGGATCCCATCCTATGGAGTACCGGTACCGTATCACAAACCCGGGATGGAGTAAGCAAACATCGAATTTTCTATTTGTATGGTGCTTGTCTGTACTTTATGTAATGAAATCTGGTTCATCCGATGTATTATACCGGTACCTTCTGCCTGGAATATGCATGGTAGAGTTGCCGTACTGTCTGCCGTGGTAGTAGCGCAACATGATGCTGCGTGGAGTCCTAGTGATTACTAACGTCATGGCCTTTTATTTATTCGTATATTATCATGTCATACCGTACTGTATCGTCCTTCCTTTGCCCTCGCGGAGGTGTGTAGCCGGGAGTTAAGTCAGAAGGAGAAATGGGTTTCTCCCCATCTCCCCCTTCCTACGCTGATTCCCCCAAAGCTCCACGGGAGAAGGTGAATGCTTTCTTGAACCGCTGTGAGTGGTTACCGTAAGCATTTTGCTAGTACGAGTACAGTACCGTACTCGAATGCAAAGGAAATGTGCTAGGATGCCGTAATTGCCATTCGTAGTAAGGTGCTGTGTATTTTCTGTCTCAGCCGCTCGTACGAAGTAGAGGCTGAGTTCGTGGCTCCCCCATCTTGGAGGGGGAGTTTCGGCAAACTAGCACATTTCTCTTGCGGTTAGGTACAGTGCTATTACCGTACTCGCGGTATGGAACTGGCGTGCAGAGTAAAATGAGATGAGGTTGTGAAAGGAAGGGAGGGAGGGAGTGGGGATTAGTACGAGGATCGGTATTGTCCGAGTAGTGGGGCTGAGCTGAGGTGGGGGTAGGTGCTAGGGAGAGGAACTCACGGCAGTGGTGACATGATGGTCGAATAGCTATGATAGCACAGAATACCGATTGGCGAGGAGGAGGCTGTACTTTTAAACCCGATTCGACAATAATAGGATACCGGTACTCGTATCATAGACTATCGATTCCCCTCCTACTGAGGGTTTGATCCCCATACATACTGCACCAGCCATCATTCACCACAATTCTCAATAACTCGACTCAACCCAGCCGGCTGCTTTACCGTACAAACCGCGGTCCACCGTACTATAGTCTACAGGACCCCACCCCACCACCCCCAGTTACTGCGGTGACATTATCAGACCTGGCCCGACCAGAGCTAGACTAATGATCCGGTACGGTATGCCACCGCGCGGGGTATGATACCGGTACGGTACGAGTATTCCTTCTCACCGCGAGCCCCAGTCAAAGGAGGGGGGCCATAGCTTGCCTGTCCGGCCGGCCCAGGGATACATACTAAACCCGAAACGGGTGCTATGGCCACCACCACCACGAAAGAAAGATCCGGAAGTGAGCGGCGCAGACACCGGGGATTGATTACCATTATCGCCCCTGAGTATTTGGTTTGTCCAATGTTTATTTATTTATTTTTATTATTTTTCTGTCCGTCTGTCTGCCCGAGTGAGCTCCCGCGAAGTTTCCGCTGTTTGTTCATCACAGTAACGAAGGTTCGGGGGGAAGCCATATCCCGAGCGGTTCCGAAGAGAGGAGAAAGGATCGACCGGCTATCCGTACAAAGTACAAGTATTATACGAGTACAGTACCATGGCTTCTGCGAGAAGCAGCCCCAACCACGAATAAAGTCAAGCCTCAATCTCCAAAGTCCGGTATTACTAGCGGCCCCGCTCAGGCCGTTCGATCTCATCGGCCAACCCTAGGGGTGAACTTTTGCCATTCGAGATAAGCCCTTGTGCCGGCACCGTACTCGGGTTCAAGTACAAACGGTTCCTATTATTATTATTTTCATCATCATCATATGATACCCTATCTACTGCGGTATTTGAACCTTTTTATCTTTCGTTTCTCATCATTTTCCGCCATACGGGAGCTTTGTTACGGTGCGAGGAATAATCTCTCCCAGCTTTTTCGTAGGGTTACGGGTGGGGACGTACCGGGGCATTGGGAGTGATCGAGTAGAGAACAGGGAGGAAGGGTGAGAGAGATAGAGAGAAGGGAAGGTCTAAGAAAGGGAGGGAAGGCAGGAAGGGGAACTCTCGCACACACCACACAAAGTAACGTGCTGCAGGACGGAGCCGCAGGATTCCCATCCAGGGCAGCCCAAAAGCCCCAGGCAGTCAAATCAGTAACTTGTAGCAAAGCAACCCGGAGCGACAAACTGACGGCACACTAACGACTCAACGGCTATCATCCAACATATCGGGAGATTTGGAGAGGAGAAAAAAACCGGGCAAGAACTTGAAAGCTCCGCCTCTGGATTGGATTCGAACATCGTCGTATCGTGTTGCCGTTTTCCCATCACACCCGCTTCCCTATTCAACCTACGGTAACCCGCTCAGTAAAAGGGAGAAGGGGGAAAAGAAAAAAAGAAAAAAAAAAGGGAGTTCGTACCAAGGTCCAAACAGCGGGAGATTATCACCGTCCCGGAGACCCAGACAGCTGTCATCGTTCGAACGCTCTGCTGCTCCGCCGCTACTCCGACCGTCCGCCGCTGCCAACGGGGGCTGCTGCACTGGCCCAAGCACAGACCTGCAGGGCCACAATCAAACCCACGCGGGATTTCCTTTCTGGCGAACCGTCAACAAGAGTAAGGCCTTGTCTCCCAAAGTGTAATTGGCCCTATCCGTGATTTGCGAGCCTTTCTCGGGTTCCCACAGGAGCAGTGCAAGAATCGTCCTTACTGTCTTCCGTATAGCTAATCCCGGCTGGAGGGAATTCTGGAAGCCTGTCAGGGACAGATAGACAAGAGGTGGAAGAGCGCTGCACGGGAATGGCTGATTATGCGGCTCTCCTGGGGATGGGATCTCCTGCAGTAGCAGCGCTGGTTGACTCGAATGGAAGGTGTGTCCAAGTTTTCTTTCCTTCACTTCTCATTTGCGGGTCCGGTTCCCAATACTTGATTGCGTGGCTTCAAAGAGAAGAGGCGGAGAGAGGAGTAGGTAGGTGAGTGAGTGTCAGTGGGTGTGCGAGCAGGTGTCCACCGATCGGTCTACCGCTATCAGTGCGCGAACAGGATAGTGAGGAGTGGACCAAGTTTGTTCGCTTTGGAGCGAGAGCCCAGAGTGGAAGAGCAGCCGGCAGCAGTGGTCCTCGAAGGGGTTGAATCGACAATTGTCCATCGACAGCAATCATCGCCGCTACTATCATCGCATTCCTCCCCTCGCTCACTCTTGCTTCCCCCCCCCCTTTTGCTCGGGTCGCCATGGCTCGGGACGTAGAGGGCTTCCGTCCGACTCTCCCACCAATCTCTTCCTCCGTCCCCTCGTACTACGGGACCCGCTCCGACCCTGATACGCCGCCTCCAACACCTACTGGCACCACTGCCACATCCTCTTTTCAGAGTCACACAATTAAGAAGCGTTTATCGGATTCACTTACTGACATCTTTGCTCTGCGTAGAAGGCGTCCGTCATTACAGCAAGGTACATCATCGTCGAGAGGCACCGGCAATGGGTCAAGGTCGAGAAACCGGTCGTCGTCTGCCACAGCTGCAGGGGCTACAAACTACATTAGGGCACCTCCCCCAATTCTCAACTCATCCGCTTCTATGGCTACGATAGCATCCACAAGCTCGACGAGCAGTAGTTACAGGGGGAGCTTGTCGAGGAGTGATTCTTACACTGATATGGTCGCGCGGGGGTTCCGTATGACAAGGGAGGGGCAGATGAGGGAGTCGCCAATCGCCCCAGTATTCGAGCCGGGCAGATCGGTTTCTAGCAGGAAAATCATGTCTGATGAGGAAATGCGAGAGCAAGATGATCAATTTGGGGCTGTAGGTGCGTCGGAATATCGAGCTGAAGATGGGCAGGCGAGTAAAGCTGCCGCCGAGGTTGGAATGAGAAGGATGCCGGGAATAACAAGGAAGATATCAGATTCTAGGAGGATTCTTAGGCCTCTGTCACCAGGAAGCAAAGAAGACGAGGATGGGGGGAGCATTGCTTTGGCGGAGGAATTGGAACAGAGGGTTTCCTTAGCAACAGAACAATTGGGTATTCCGGCTGGCTCGGTGGCTGACTCTAAAAGGGAGTCATCGATGTCAGCGGCAGCTTTGACGGTTCAGGGATACACTTCATCGTCAGATGAGGCATCTACGTCGTCTTCATTGAAATCTGCAAGGTCCCGCAGCTCAACATCAGGTACATCAGGATTACCCCGAACCATCTCGTTTTCCCACTCAAAGAGGCGTGGTTCTAAAACACAAATGGTACCAGCACCCCTGGATTTGCAGAGCTGGGCAGATAAGGGCGGTTCCGCTAGTAGTACGTCTGCGAATTCAACATCAGAGAGACAATCGTCTTCGAGGCCGCAAACAGTACCACCAGAGCGTTCTGCTACTGCTTCGCCGTTGAAGTATGCCAGCCTTTCTGTTAGAAATAATCAGAGCGGTGGCCTTGAGGTCCCCAACCCAGCCCCGACCCCAGGATCCCCAGGGTCTCGGCTATCTTCATTGGCCAGCCCGTCCGGGTCTATCCCAGGGCAGAAAACTCGATCGACATCAGCAACAACATTGAATTCTATGGTAGCTCGTTCGGACAGTACGTCTTCAGTCGCTACTGCTCCTTCATACCCTCTCAAGAACCCACCCGCATCGACAACTACGCCAGTGAATACATCTAGATCACAGAAAAGTCTTTCATCCCGAGATCGAAAGGAGTCCTCCAAAGTATCACTAGCAGCATATGCAGCCAGTGCGAAGAACAAGCCCCGACACCCTCCCAGCCTTGAACCTCCACTTCCGGACCCCGGGAGTGCACCTTCTGTGGCCCCAGCTCCCGCTAGTGGTATGTATTGGTACAAGGCCCCAACCCATGGACAGGATAGCGTGCCCTTGAGAGCACATACCTGCACATTAGTAGGAAGCAACGTATATGTTTTCGGAGGATGTGATGTGCGAACGTGTTTTAATGATCTCCATGTTTTCGACGCAGGTAGGGTTGCAAGTGCATTTGATATCCCCCATGAAACGCCGAGTTAACCCGGTGTAGATTCAATGTCCTGGTCCAAGCCTGCAGTCTGCGGTGACATTCCACCGCCATTAAGAGCAATGACTACCACAGCCGTCAACAAAAAGTTGGTGATATTTGGCGGTGGAGATGGGCCAACATACTACAATGATATCTACGTCTTTGACACCATGACAAATCGCTACACCAAACCAAAGCTGGCCGGTGGCCAACAGCCTTCCCGACGGCGCGCCCACACCGCCTGTTTGCACAAGAACGGCATCTACGTATTTGGCGGAGGCGACGGCGTTCGGGCCCTGAATGATGTATGGAGACTGGATGTCTCGGACTTGACTAAGCCTTCTTGGAAACTGATATCCGCCCCGCCCCGCCCGGGCGGATCGACAACCTCCCTAAGCATCGACGGACGTCCATCCACCCGAACAGAGAGTCTACAACACCAAGCACGGCCAGCGGCGAGGGGTTATCATACCGCCAATATGGTGGGATCGAAATTGATCGTGTTTGGAGGGAGCGACGGCGACGAGTGCTTTCGGGATGTGTGGGTTTTCGACCTGGAAACGAGTATTTGGAAGTGTGTTGGCATCAAGACTAGCTACCCGCGCCTCAGCCATACCGCGACAATCGTTGGGAGCTACCTGTTCGTTGTCGGGGGGCATGATGGTGTGGAATACTCTTGTGAAGTTTTGTTGTTGAATCTTGGTATTTTCCCCCACCCAGTAGAGAAACTGGCTCGACCCAAAACACGACCTAATATCAATAGTGACCATGCAATGGGACAAGAGAAAAGTCTACGGCATGCCACCTAGTGGCCGGGGATATCATGGCGCGGTACTACACGATAGTAGGTTATTCGTAATAGGCGGCTTTGATGGGTATCTCCCCCCCCCATTTCCATCCCACAAGACACTAACTTTAAATTAGACACGACGTATTCAACGACACCTACATCCTAGAACTCGCCGTCAGCAGCTACTACTCACAAATCTCACACTTCACGATAGAAGTCTAGCCAACTGCCCAACCGGTCAAACCTTACGCACCCTCCCCTTTTCAACTTAACGGCCGCCCTTCAATTGTCATGCATCCGTCGATTCTTGGGTTATCAGATAGACACGGCGGGGCGTTCCTTCTATTCCTTTCCTTCACACTCATCACCACTGTTGCCTATTCTGTTCCGTTCTGTTCGGCGTCTTTTTCCACTCCCCAGGTGGGAAAAAAAATTATGATTTTTCTCCTTCTCCCTCTCCTCCCATTTATTCTTCTCGATCGGTCGATTGATTGATGGATCGGCTATGACGCCGAACAACTTTATTTCATTTCATTCCTATGAACGACAAATTATGTGACGGGTGGATGATTCCGATTTATTGATGGCCGCTTGCTTACTCACATTAACGATAACGGCGCAGTATCTTTTTTCTTCCCTTCTTCTCTCTCTTCTCCTTCTGTTGTGGTAATCCTGAATCGCGGTGTTTTTTCGGGGCGCAAACAGTTTTTTCTCTTCCTTTCCATGTCGCGCCAGTATGCTTGCCTACCCGCGTGTCTTTTTTTTTCTTTTTTTTCTGCGTTATTTGTACGGTTTAAGTACTGATTTTCTACTCTTCTGATCCCATTTTTCATACATATATATATTACCTTAAATCAAGTTGTGTAGGACGGATGATATAGTCTATCTCAGACTCTTTCTGGCTTCCCGAGTGTTAGTACTCGTATCATAACAGGACAGTACTCGTACAGCACCTACCGACCGTAACTTACCTATCCGCCGCTGGTAACGGCAGGATTGGCATCGGTAAAAGAGGGAGATTACTGCTCTTTGTGGGCTAATTACCATATGTCGAGGTCGAGTAAATCACCTCCGCGGGTAGATTAAGAGCACCATACGGGCGTCGGTGGTCTAGGCGCACGATGTGTACGAGTAGAGTACGAGTACAAATCTCACCTGCGCCATGACTTTGATATTGGAAATGGGGATGGAAAATCATTACCGTACTCCGGAAGCGAAAGGGGTCGGAGACCGCCGACGGGTTCGTAAGCTTCCGTACGGTTGGTTAGGGTAGTCCAGGAGCCTACAGTACCGAATCCTACGTCACAAAGCCATAAGTTAAGTTGATTAATTCGCTCGGGCGGTGCTGGTACCATATGATGGAACGCGCGATAACTGGTACCAGTACCAGTAGGGGTATTCAAAGTTAAAAGATGATTTTACAGTAACGAGTTAAATGCGGGAAGTTGCATAAGGTTACTTTCTGGTATTAGCCAATCGGATCCTCATGGTTTAGGTACTATATTTGAATGCCCCAAGGAAACTGAAGGTAAAGTACGGTATAGAGGTTATGACATAACACAACCTTACCAAGATCATGAGAACCCTGCCCATTAACAGAAAGTCGGGGTTGGGGGATTTTTTTTTACCAGTGAGGGTATATGATTATTTCTAGAGCATGCTGTAATATCTCTTGGAACTTAAACTCAATTTTTTAATTTTTTAATTTTTTTTCTTTCATGATATTGCCATGTATCGTTTCAGGGATCTGGTGAAGTTGTGTTAAACTGAGTTTGGTGCCTGTTATGGACCTCCAGACCTCCATATCTGCCAGAAAGAAAAGTATGGTAAGGTAAGGTTAAGTAATGGTAAACTAACTATTTTTGCGCATGCCAGGTTTACATGGAACGGTGGGGTAAGCTGAGTTTTTGCCACATTTTTAACTTTGAAATACCCCTACTTTACGGTCAAATACTCGAGTGCCCGATTGTGCATAAGGCGCTGTACGGGTACCGCACTCGGAGTATCAGGAGATTCCGGAGAATCTAGAAAGCGCGAGTCATCGAGGGATATTGATTATACATGACAGGACTTAAAAAAATTTATGTCGAGTTGGACTACCGTACGGTACTGTACGGTACCAGTGTTCGAGTGGAGTATCATACAGTGTAACCTACGGTATAATAGTCATCCCGATTCCATCCGAGTTTTTTTTCTTTTTCTTTTTCCTTTTCGCTTTTCCGTGCTTCCGTCATACCACTATTAGTCAGTGGCTCTGCTTCCATGCATCCGATGGTTCCCCGGCGTTCTAGAGTAACTTAAGATGAAAAGAAAAAAAAAAGTCGTGGATAAAAACCTTGGACTTCTCGTCAAAAAAATTAATTCTGAATCATCACTAGAAGCATCAGTGGCGACGATAGACTAACAGCGTCATACCGGTAACTGCTGTCTTGATTGTTTAAAGGAGTTCTTCCCCTACTCTGTGAAGCGATTCGGTATCCGGTCGAGTTGTTGTGTGCTTCTGCTCCGATATATTCGTACCGTTATTACCGTTATATCCCTGGCCTGTGCTTATAGTGTGTCGGCGTCATTGCGACAAGAACGTTTCGAATAAGTTAACCGCACTTCCTCCATCACCCTTGTTTCAACAAACCATCACCCCACCTCCCCCCCCCCCCACTAAACGAAAAATCGCAGCATGAAGATTCTTACAAAGGAGGAAGAACAAGGTGAGCTAGCCTTATCGTTGCCCCATCCCTAACGCAATTCTAACGCGCTCTGATCCAAGAGCACTACGCCGCCGTCCTCAGGGGTGGAATTTCCGGCGGCCTGGTGGGGTTAGGAGTGGGTCTCGGGGCCGCAGCGGTCCTCAACCGCCGCTGGCAGTTCTTCCGCGCCCTCACACCCCCGCTGAAGGCTTTCTTCGTCACCAGCTCGGGAACCTTCGCCGCTATCATCAATGCCGACATCTACTCCCGTGCTTACGAGGCCTCCCGCCACGCTGAGCTCCGCGAGTACCAGGACTCGGCAGCGCGCGCCCTCGCGATGGCAAGGGCCAACAGAACGGGTTGGGAGAAGTTCAAGGACTTTGGTCGAGAAAACCGGTACCCTATCGTCACGGCGAGTTGGGTTCTCAGTATGGCCATCAGCTTGGGGCTCGTCAGTCGGAACAGGTACCTCACTACCAGTCAGAAACTGGTCCAGGCGAGAATGTACGCCCAGGGTCTTACCCTTGCCATGTTGATTGCGAGCGCTGGGTTTGAGGTTGCGGATGCCAGGGGCGGGAAGGGAAAGTTTGAGACCGTGCTCGTTGTTGATCCCGAGGACCCGGAGCACAAACATATGATTGAGAAGAGGATCCACCATGAGAGCTATCCTGGTGAGGATTTGTGGAAAGGTTTGTTTCTGGCCCGGTTGATGCCACTGGTTTGGATTGTCGTGCTAACTATTTTGATATAGATATGGTCGAGTCGGAAGAGCGAAAGCTCAAGGAGAGGGAGGCAGCTAGGGCTAGGGCCAGGGCCAATTAGATAGCCTTAGCCCTAACAGGGCATTCTTGTGAATAGCCTTACGGAAGCAGTGTGTGGTCCAGTGTTTCTCCTTTCCCCTTTCCCTTGCGTTGCTTGATTTGGCCGGGGCGATCATTAGAGATATTTCTCGTCTGTACTATACCATTTTCACCATTTCCATTCTCCTTTGCTTATGGCTCTTCTCACCCGTTAGATTGCTAAGCGCTACATTTCTCATGTATCATGCGAGCATCCTTGTAGAGGTAGAGGCGTTAGATTTTTTACTTTTTCTACTTTTTTACATTTTTGCTTCTACTCTGCTCGGCCCCTTCTCCCGGGTAGGTCAATGCCCCTGGGGTAGATAATAAGGAAACGTTACTATGAATAATCAGCCACTCGAGTGAATAACCCGGCTGGGGGCAGAAGAGATGTTTGATCTTAGAGCTGGAGATGTGAGAAATATGCAAGGAGACTGCGGAGGACGGGACCGTCGGTTTATATAGAGAAAGCTCGGAGCAAGGAAATTTGTCCATGCAGGAGCTGATGAATATCGTTCGTAAGTGGGTTTGAACATTGTGGTAACATAATCCTCGGCCGGCCGGTTAGCGAAAGAAAGAAAGAGAGAAGAATGCTTAATGTATTTTTCTTAAGAAGTCGTGATACTTGTATACCGGTACCGCCGAGTTACCAAAACTAATATGAACAAACGCCGTAACTAGAACCGATACAAACACCATTAAACCGAAGCTACCTCTTGACACTTGCCATAACCCCCTCGGTATGTCTCCACACCGCTTCCACCTTATCATCCCCCCACCACTGAGCCCCTCCACTGGCCTGCCGATTGCCCCCCTCCGCAATCCGGCCGTCGGCACTCTCCCCCTTCCAATTGACCAACCACAATCCCTTCGCAAACTTCTCCTGCGTGCTCAAGTAGAAGAACCCCTGCCCCGAGTCGCCAATCGGTGTGCTAATGCATTTCAACAGCGGTTCCGTAACCCTCATCAATATCCTCAGTGGGGCGGGCAACCCTCTAGCTTGTCCTGTGACAACAAACCCGGGCGTTGCATGAATCCAGCCGATGTTGGGGTACTGTCTGGACAAGTGCTCAAATGTCAGAGAAGTCATTGTTATCGTGTGCCTCGCTACAGCCGTTAGGCTGAAAGACCCTGGTGCCGCAAGGCCGAGGTCTTTCATGTCCAGGGAAGCTTCATTGCCCGGGCCCAGCACGCTGATCACCCGGGCCGGTTCGGAGGTTGACAGGAGGGGCAGGAGGTTCAGGGCGAAGCGCACGCGGGCGTAGTAGGAGATTGCCATTTTGCGGTCGATACCTTCCGGCGATTCATCGCGGCTTTGCATCGTCATGTAGCCCGGGGACATGAAGAGGAGGTTCAATTTCTCTTCCGAGGCGGCGATCTGGTTGGTGACTCCATCGACTGTGGATAGGAGGGTTGTGTCTGCCCGGAGGAATTGGACCTTGGAAGATGGATTAAGGGCTTGCAGGTCTGCTGTTATCTTGCTACCGGCGGATTCGGAACTGGTAGGAAGGTTAGTATAATTCGAGTGAGAAGAAGCGTGAACTTGACATGAAGGCTGCGTACCGGCCAACAAAGTAAACCGTCGGGTCCACCGTATTCGACACAAAGGTTCTCAGAGCACTCTCACCGATACCAGATGTAGCTCCAACTGCTCTCAATTGATACCAGTTTTAGCAGGGAGTAGACCAACTCCTAAGGTCTCCGGAAGGGATAAACCAACCAAACACCGCAACCAACCCCTTTGCCCGCGGGAGACTAGCAAAGCCCGCATTAGCAGACCGAATGGAAGTGATATTAACCATCACGCGGTAGCTATTTGGATGGAATTCGGTTGGTTGCAGGATGTGTCGTTCAATGTAATTGAGTACATTTCTTGGTTGTTGTTGGGGTTATATACGCGAGAATCGTACGTTTACAGAGGTGCTGCCGTGGTTAAGCTTTCATGCCGTGCCGGAGCTGGTTAAAGCCGTGGGCACAGTAAGGGAGGCTTATTTCCGATCTCTCCCTAATCCCGCAGTAACTTAACTGTATCATACAGTATACCGGTTAACCGTGTACGTACAGGTATGCATCTTCCGCTGGACGCGGGATTCCGGGGAAATGTACTCACCAACTCCCGCTCGAAAAATCCTTCGCGACGACACCGGCCCACACCCGTGCTATCTGTGGCTGCCGTAGCATACTGGTGCGATACCGGTACCAGTGCCAGCCAAAACTCAGTCACGATTCAATGGGCGGATACTGTTGAATTTCCTAATTCGTTTCATATGTATATTCTCCTTTGATAATATCGTATATTTCTCTACTTAGTATTATTTCTATATTACCAACATTACTACAGTTGGAGTATGTATTACGTTTATTTCATTTGATATTTCATGATATGATTAGGGGATTATGGCATGCTTTCTTATCTGGTGTTCAGATTTATTTCTTACATTTTATCCGCTCACACCATCTTAGATTTACACATGTTTTATGAGATTTCCTTGGCAGTTCTTCAGGGTCAGACATGTTTGCACTTATGTTTTTCCTACTTATGTTACGGTCAAACATGTTGACACTTATGTTTTTCCTTATATTTTCTCTTGGTTACTTGAAGGATGCACACCTGTATAAATAGGGGTTACCACCCATCTCACTTAAGAGAATCAAGGACAAGAACTACTACCAATCTACCTTCATACCAAACTCCTTCTCGCTTAACGTGCCCATGGTGTACTCTTCCTACTACGTCGTATTTTCGTATAGAGTTATTAAGATAGTGCCATACCGTACACATTAGAACAGGTTATAAGCCCAGTGCCTATATAACTATACGACTTACACTCACATGTTATCCATCAACAGCTGACGAAACATTTCACCCAATGCGAAACATTTCCACTTTGAAACAAAATTCCTAACCGAAACATTTCTTGAAACATTTTCTGAAACATCCTTCCTCAGCACGAAAATCTCTTGGCAAAACTTGGCAATTTCTCGCTTAAAAGCAGAACTCACTCTCCAGAATCCTACTGGTCCTCCTCTCCCCTCAGGTTCTGCTTGCACAGGTCTCGCTTGCACGGGCGCAGTCCTCTATCACCTTTCCCACAACTCCATTGAACCCCAGCAGTGCTGCAAGGCATACTTTCTGGCGAGTGAGTAGTGGCTTTGGGCGGTAATGGTTAATAACTATGATCGAGGATTCTTAACATAGGTTAACATTCTTAACATAAGTTAATAACCTATTCATATGTCAAATTCTGGCGAATTTGCTGGACCTCAGAATGCAGAATTCGAGCATCCTCTGCTTCCTCCAGTACCTCCAACTCCTCCTCCACTACCACCTGTACTGCCTCCTGGTGCACCGCCTCAACCTCCACCAATGGATAACCCAGGCCCTGCCAACCCAACGCCGCAAAATCCTGCCAACAACTCTAAGCGAAACTGGGCACCTTCCTACAAACTGAGCTCAATTCCTAAGCTCACAGGCCCAGATAACTACAGAACTTGGCACTATATATCAGAATACGTCCTAACCTTATTTAACTGTTAGGATATAGAAATAGGAGTAGAAATACTACCAGAAATAGGAGATACTACCAGGGATAACAATGATGAAGATGCTCGAGACGCTTTCTGTCATCGCTACCAGTGGGCCTCGGCCTACTTTTTAGAAACGATCGACTCACAATGGCTCGTCATGTTGGCCACCCACAAGACACCATCCACCATTTGGAAAGCCTTCGAAGATAAATTCGCTTGTGAAAACACCTCCTCCTTCTTTGACCAGCTAAATGCGGTCCTAGATTCCAAGTACGATCTGTCCGAACATATGCCAGACCACATTAATAAGTACGATACCCTATGGAATCGCATGCAACATTGTTGCTCAACTGCTTTAGAAACCAACAGATACGCTCTACCGTTTGTTTTTAAATTGGCATTTGAGTCAACTGAAGCTAAAGCCGCCGTTCTCCTCTGTTACCTGCTCCCATCAATAAGTAACATCGTCGATAACCTCTAAACCAAGGAGGACCTTACCTATAATCATGTCTACAACAAACTGTTAGACTTGAAATTCTCGGTTAATTCTGAGAATGATAAGGCGTATAAAAGCACCGACATCAAAGGAAAGGGAAAGGCTCGCGATAGAGTCCGCCGGCAACCGGCCGAAATGAAGGAATACTCTTACTGTAAAAAGCACTACCCCTCTGCTCGTAGTAAAGGCCACTCCTAGAATGAGTATAACAAGCTTAAGGCCGACAATGAGAAGCGAAAGAAGGAAAAAGGCCAACACTTGGCTAAGATTGGAAAGGAAGAAATACCTGAATTGGTCAGTACCTCTACATCCTCAACTTTAATGCAAAAGACCCCTCACCCAATCCAATAGGTTATTGATACAGGCGCAAACTCACACATGACTTTGAACCTAAACCTTCTTATAAACTTCAAAACTTCACAAGGCACTATTAAGTTAGGCGATGATTTGGTAATAGAATCATGCAGCCGTAGAACAGTGGAGCTTAAGGCCAAAACATCTGATGGCCAGACAGCCTCTGTCTTTCTACAACGGGTCTCTTGGGTTCCTAAGTTGGGTTCTAGCAACTTGTTATCTTGGCAGGCTATTATTTCTTTTGGAAAAGGGTTTTCTTTGCGGAGTTCTGGGAAGGATATGTATGTTTTTAGGGAAAATAAAACAGAGGTCTTATGGGGAAAGCTTGACGGACAGGACTACGTTGTGCAAGAGAAAAAGGAGACGGCAAACAAGATAACTTACAAAGAATAGCATGAAGCCCTTAGACATCTATCACTGCAATACCTCAAAGCCGACCACTACTCTGACTCTCCTGCTATTCCTACCATTCCAAAAGACTGGCAATGTGAAACCTGCATCACCTCCAAGTCAGCCAAGTCAAAGCCCAAATCAACTGAGAAACGATGTGACACACCTTTCAAGTTAATTCACTCTGACCTTAGCGGACGATTCTTGAAACCCTCCTTTGGCAACTCCTGGTACTATGTTACCTTCATCGATGACAATACACACTATGCATGGATCTACATCATAAAAGCGAAGTCTGATATGGTAAAGGTGTTTGAACGGTTCATGAAGGAAAGAACAACCCAGGACCCTACCCTTATCAAAAGATTCCATACTGACAATGGAGGAGAGTATATCAATGACAAGATGCTTACACTGCTTCAGAAGCATAGTATTGTACATGATAAGACCCCTCCTTACTCACACAAATATAATAGTGTTGCCGAACAGTACAACCATACCATCATCACATCAATAGACTCTATGTTGACTGGATTTACCCTTAGTTTTTGGGCTGAAGCAGTCTCCACCACCGTCTACCTTAGGAACAGACTCTCCAACCGAGCCATAGGAAATTCAACGCCCTATGAAGCTATCTATAAAACAAAGCAGTTGATCAACCACTTGTACCTATACAGGACCAAATGCTACGTCCATATACCAGAGGAGAAAAAAAACCTGGAATGAAGCTACAGCCCCAGGCCTTGGAAGGATATCTTGTCTGTTACACCTCTTTCAACAAAATATACTGG